TGGGCTTCACACATTGTACCCATGTCGGGAATCGAACCCAGGTCTTCGGCGTGACGAACGAACGCTTTAACCACGAGGCTACCCGACCTCCCCAGATGCAACTGGAAAACCAAAAGGTAAAACTAAAGTTATGGATGCTGTGTGCTTGACAATTTGTTTTGTTTGTTGCTTAATGCCACACTAAGCAATATTCCAGCTATATGATGGCACCCTCTAAATAATCTGGACCAGACAATCCAGTATTTGATTTTGTGACAAAGAAAACACATAATTGTGTAGGATGACATACATCAACAAAGTCAGCTAGCCTGACCACCTGATCCTGTTAGCTGCCTCTTACAATCCTGTTAGTTGCCTCTCACGATCCTGTTGATTGCCTCTTATGATCCTGTTAGTCACCTCTTACGATCTTATTGGTTGCCTCATATGATCCCGTTAGTTGCCTCATAAATCCTGTTAGTCGCCTCTTACGATCCCGTTGATTGCCTCATACGATCCTGTTAGTCGCCTCTTACGATCCCTTTGATTGCCTCATACGATCAAGTTAGTCGCCTCTTACGATCCCTTTGATTGCCTCCTACGTTCCCGTTAGTCGCCTCTTACAATCCCTTTGATTGCCTCCTACGTTCCCGTTAGTCGCCTCTTATGATCCTGTTGGATGCTTCATACAATCCTGTTAGTTACCTCTTACTATTCCGTTGATTGCCTCATACGATCCCATTAGACGCCTCGTATGATCCCGTTGATTGCCTCACATGCTCCCTTTTGTCGCCTCTTACGATCCCGTTGATTGCCTCATACGATCCCGTAGGATGCCTCTTACGACCCTGTTGGTTACCTCTTACAATCCTGTTGGTTGCCTCTTACGATCCTATTGGTTACCTCTTACAATCCTGTTAGTTGCCTCTTACGACCCTGTTGGTTACCTCTTACAATCCTGTTAGTTGCCTCTTACAATCCTGTTGATTGCCTCATACGATCCCCTAAGTCACCTCTTACAATCCAGTCGGTTGCCTCAAAAGACAATAGATAGCAGGGGACCAATGCTACCTCAAAAGACAATAGAAAGCAGGGGACCAATGCTGCCTCAAAAGACAATAGATAGCAGGGGACCAATGCTGCCTCAAAAGACAATAGAAAGCAGGGGACCAATGCTGCCTCAAAAGACAATAGATAGCAGGGGACCAATGCTGCCTCAAAAGACAATAGAAAGCAGGGGACCAATGCTACCTCAAAAGACAATAGATAGCAGGGGACCAATGCTGCCTCAAAAGACAATAGATAGCAGGGGACCAATGCTGCCTCAAAACACAATAGATAGCAGGGGACCAATGCTGCCTCAAAAGACAAATAGATAGCAGGGGACCTATGCTAAGCCAGAATCCACCAAGAGGGTTGCTTGAATGCACAACATGATAAACAAGAGGACTGTGGAAAGTGGGCGTCTGGGGTCATGGGAGCAGCATTTATCTTCCTCCCTAAAGCACAAATCAGTCCACCTCGCTTGGATCCAGTTGTTCAGCTTGTTTAGACATAGGCAAACATTGACACAGCTCAGAACACAGAGATGGGATGAACAGATCGCCATGGTGTTCTTGTCAGGCAAAGTCTCTGTGAAGACATCCTATGGATTTTGCCTCCATCAAAGCCAACATATTCCCTTGGTACTTTGTTGACCTAATGTTTCTTGAAGTGGTTGTTATTACATTGTGAACGGAACTTACTGATGATCTACTGATCAATTGTTGATACGGATTGTCCTGTCATTTCACGACAAACAAACCCATAACTTGAAATATGAGTATTGAGGCATGAAGCCGAGTGGGGAGTCCAGGTTAGGGTATGAGTGAGTGAGTGAGTGAGTGAGTGAGTGAGTGAGTGAGTGAGTGAGTGAGTGAGTGAGTGAGTGAGTGAGTGAGTGAGTGAGTGAGTGAGTGAGTGAGTGAGTGAGTGAGTGAGTGAGTGAGTGAGTGAGTGAGTGAGTGAGTGAGTGAGTGAGTGAGTGAGTGAGTGAGTGAGTGAGTGAGTGAGTGAGTGAGTGAGTGAGTGAGTGAGTGAGTGAGTGAGTGAGTGAGTGAGTGAGTGAGTGAGTGAGTGAGTGAGTGAGTGAGTGAGTGAGTGAGTGAGTGAGTGAGTGAGTGAGTGAGTGAGTGAGTGAGTGAGTGAGTGAGTGAGTGAGTGAGTGAGTGAGTGAGTGAGTGAGTGAGTGAGTGAGTGAGTGAGTGAGTGAGTGAGTGAGTGAGTGAGTGAGTGAGTGAGTGAGTGAGTGAGTGAGTGAGTGAGTGAGTGAGTGAGTGAGTGAGTGAGTGAGTGAGTGAGTGAGTGAGTATGGTTTTAAGCCGCTTTAAGCAATATTCCAGCAATATCACGGCGGGGGACACCAGAAATGGGCGTAGCTCATTGTACCCATGTCGGGAATCGAACCCGGGTCTTCAGCGTGACGAGTGAACGCTTTAACCACTAGGCTACCCGACCACCCCTGGTCATCCGAGATAACGTAATGGATCATTGACTTAGTTGAAAGAATGTCATTGTACTCTGATGTCTTGGATCAATGCTCATGATATGAATCACTGGATGGTTTGGTAAAGTCTTGATTATTTACAGGTCGCTGTCAGGTACCGTAATGACCGCAGATAAGCCGACCCCGTAGATAAGCCGAGGTATTAACTTGACCCATGAAATTTGAAAGAATATGATATGACCTGTAGATAAACCGAACCAGGAAGTAAACGGCAACGACACACCGCGAAGTCGGACTGCAAGACTGTACAGGTACTTGCAGATATTCAATAATTTAAGATGAAAAACGTTGTAATTATATTGAAAAAGTCATTATAATTTCTAATAAAGATTTAACAAACCAGTCAAAACAGATCACGTTCTGAAAATTACTATCATGAAAGTATATATCCCATGGATAAGCCGACCCCTTTCTCCAGAATCTTATATCTGGTGCTCAAAATTCCTCTTATCTGCAGACATATATGGTAGATTCAATATTGCTGAGTGCGGCATTAAACAACAAACAATAACAGCCTAAAATATCTCAATATCCATATAAAAAGTAACATATAATTGAAAGCATATTTTCCTCCTCGATCTGCACAATATTAGTTTTTCTGTTTCATATCTTTTTAGAAACTTAACAAGACTCCTAGATTTATGAACTAATTATAAACAACAGCCATTTATTCCTTCATGGCAGTGAAGATTTATGGCTTTACATTTGTGGATCCGTTGCATAACCATCAGACCACTTGTCAAGAAGACCACTTGTCAAGAAAACCCTGCAAGAACAGGTCCCCAGCAACCTATGCTTGACATATGACATGACTTGGTTGATGGTTTGTCAACATACCATGTCGGCACAGATCATTGTTCATAACATCAATCACAGGTTTATCTAATCTAGATTATGTACAGTCCACTACCAAGTAGTCAGAATATTGCTGAGCATGGCATTAGAAGAACTGAATTTTTGTTAAGATGCATGTGGTCCGAGGGGGACACCAGAAATGGGCTTCACACATTGTACCCATGTCGGGAATCGAACCCGGGTCTTCGGTGTGACGAGGGAATGCTTTAACCACTAGGCTACCCGACCGCCCCCTATCATCAAGTGATCCATGAAGATCCAGGGCAGAATAGTTCTTGAGAAACACATGCTTGCCGTAAGGCGACTATACTAAGCTTTGGTGGTTGCATGATTAGATTTGGTTATTTCTATTCTGTTTGGGATTTATAATGGACCCGTGAAGATCCGGGGTAAAATAGGTCTTCAGCAACCTATTCTTGCCATAAAAGGTGTCTATGCATGTCGTATGAGGCAACTAACGGGATCGGGTGGTCAGGCTCGCGGACTTGGTTGATACATGTCATCATGTCCCAATTGCATGGATCGATGGTCATGACATCAATCACTGGATTGTCTTGTCCAGGCTCGATTATTTAAAGACTGCCGTCATATAGCTAGAATATTGCTGAGTGTGGTGTTAAACAAAAAACAAACATTCATCAAGTTTGGACGAGATAACCAGTGACAGAAAGTATGAGCAACTATCTGGGTGTGATGAAACACACAGAGTCAAGACACAGATGCCCCATCTTCATCAGGCAGCTCTTACGACTAGCGGGGCGGTCGGGTAGCCTCGTGGTTAAAGCATTCGCTCGTCACGCCGAAGACCTGTGTTCGATTCCCGACATGGGTACAATGTGTGAAGCCCATTTCTGGTGTCCCACGTCGTGATATTGCTGGAATATTGCTAAAAGCCGCGTAAAACCATACTCACTCACTCACTCACTTACGACTAGCATGTGTCCTGGGGACCAATTATTTCCTGGAAATAAATCCTTAAATTTTCTAAAGATCTCTAATGGGAATTTATAACAAGAATAAATATAACCATAATGACACCAAACACCAATATTGCAGAATCTGACTGACTAAATTTCAATTTGAATTCTTAAAATTGTAAAAATCTCAAAGAAGCTCATGAGGCCCATCTTCAAGACCAATCAAACACCATTTCAGCAAAAAACACAAACCACTTCCAATGAAATCAGGAATTTCAGTTGGAGAACCTGAGGGACTGAATTTTAGCTGTCATATCAGAGATTCACCCACAAAGAAACAATTCCACTTGACACGAAGTAACACCCGTGATGCTGACACTGACTGACTTCTCTCAGCAGTGGGACCAAATACATTGATAATTTCTTAAATTTCACCTGACTCCATCTCAAGATTGCCAATTTACAGTTGTCAATTTACAGGTGTCAATTACGTAATAATCCCCGACACTTCCTGGATGTCGGATTTCCCAAGAGCGTCTTCACATAAGCAGTTATTCCTCAAAGCTAAACAAACCTATTACAATAATTATTTTATAACCATCCAAACACAAAAAAATCAAAAGCAGGAACAATTTGGTATATGTTAAAGAACAGGGTTAAAGAGAAATAATTGAATGCTTGTCATGGAATTTACAATTACCGACCTGGCTCAGTCTCTTGTCATTGCCGGCATCTGGGGGACTGAATCCTGAATCCTGAATTACTGAATCCTGGTACTCCTGCAGAAGGGTGACAGTCTGAAACACAGATAAGTACTTCATCAGTCAAAACACACATTATATAATAGGGTAATTTTTTTAAAGGGAAATTACTGTAAGTAAAAGCAACAAAACCCATTTCTAGATGCTAAAAATCGGGAAAAAGCTAAAAGCAGTGTACATTGTACGATTCCGGCTATACCATGAGCATGTCTTTATGAATCACTACCATCAAGTGATGATACCAGGTGTTTGCAAAAAGGCGACAATTTCCTGCCCCACTGGTGGCACCCCTCACAAACACATGCAACGGCAAGGCAAGTTTCCCCCTGAAAAACGTGGGAACATATTGTAAAAGCCAAAATAGGGAATTGCATCGGACATCATTTTTGTCACTGATGCATCAAACTTGGACATGTCCTCCACATGTCTACCATAAAACTTTATGAAATCTTAGCTTAGGCCTTGAACGTCGTAACACTGATCAAACAACTTTGAGCATGAGATGCAAAACATGTTATTTTCATACCATTTATTGAATCGTATCCTGAAAGGCATCACAAAGAGCTTAGTTGGTCTTAAATTCTGATACTACCTTCCATAATCCCTGCTGATCAGAATTTATTCTATTCTATTTCAGTCTTTAACCAAAAGTGGTTTGGATATGAGGATTTATTTTATGACACACTTTCTGAACAATATGGTAAGCTGGTGGTCAAATTTGCGTACGTGGCAAACATTACATGAAAAAATACTGTCATAGTGATGGTTGTCTCTCTATTTTATTATTCTATTTATCTTTATTGGCAGAATTATTCTCGTGTTTTAGACATTTCCTTGTTTATATGTCAAGATGCAGGAGACAAAATATCACAGCTGTTTGATTTGCTTAAAAAGTAAAAGTAAAAAGAAAAGAATCAGGTTCAAAATATTCATATTTCAATCAATCTATTTTTTCACTTTAGCAAACATCTACAACAGGACCATCCTTTATATGAGTGAGTTGGATTTAACGCTGCTTTTAACAGTATTCCAGTCATATCACGGCGTGTCAGCTTAATGTGGGAGTCAATCCGAAGTGATGCAGGTCACAGACGTTTACCACTTCATTGAAACCCACGAGCACGGGTATGGTGCTGACAAACCTAGAAACATAATCGGGGCGAACCGGGATTCGAACCCACAATCATAGGTTTCTGGCGTGCCCAAGGGACGCAACCCTGCACAGTGAATCGTGGCACCTTAGATGACTGGGCCACCAATGCCTCCTACCAAGCTTTAGCTAATTGAGACATAACACAGTCTTTGATATTCAACACGCCGCTTTTAGCAATATTCCAGCAATATCAAATCGAACCCAGGTCTTCGGCATGATGAACGAACGCTTTAACCACTAGGCTACCCGACCGCCCCGAAATTCAACATGAATGTAAGGAGCCTTGTCACCAGTGATCGAAACTAACAGTTTTAGTCCACATTCCTTATAATGATAACATATAGCAGAACCCTTAAAAAGGGTAAATTTCTACTTGTCCTTATGATACCTTAACTTTTGGGCAATTTGGCAAGGACTATAAGACTGGTCATGGATCTAACATTATATTAAAAAATTAGTGAGTGAGTGAGTATGGTTTTACACCGCTTTTAGCAATATTCCAGCAATATCACGGCGGGGGACACCAGAAATGGGCTTCACACATTGTACCCATGTTCGGAATCGAACCCTGGTCTTTGGCGTGACGAGCGAACGCTTTAACCACTAGGCTTCAAATACTTAACCTCAAAGACCCCACGACCTTTTTATTTTGAACACTATGAATTGTTTGTTTGTTAGTTGTTAAACGCCGCACTCTGCAATTTTCCAGCTGTCTGTAAATAATCAAGCCTGGACCCGACAATCCAGTGATTGACATCACAAGCACTGATCTACACACTTGGGATACGATGACATGCATCGACCGAGTCCGCGAGCCTGACCACCCGATCCCGTTAGTTGCCTCTTACGACAAGCAAAGACGCCTTTTACAGCAAGAATGGGTTGCTGTGGAGCTATCTCACAAGCAACGGTTGTGGAGACCTATTCTAACCAGATCTTCACAGGGCCAACACTGTGAAGACATCAAAAATGATTACATTTCAGTACCTGCCTAGAAGTGAAACTAAAGGGATTTTGCTGTTACCCAGCTGCTCCTTTGGATAATCAAAGATTTATTTACACAAAGCCAACATCTGCGAGGTTCAGAATTCCACTTATTTGTAAAATGACGTTTTTCCATTTCATGTCGACATTTCTTGGCTCCTGAACATGTTTTATTATATGAGCAGGAGGCAATGGGTGCAGAATTAATTTATCTGGTTAATTGAGGTAAAATGGGGTTAAACCTCTTATGATGAGAACAAAGCATGTTTCCGTGAATATACTTAACATCTTGTACTTAAAACAGTTTTATTATTTGGCATAAAGTAATATTATGTGATTTACACATTTCTTTTCTCAGTTAGTAATTACATAATTCTTATAAAAATCTTTCTTTCTTTCTTTGTTGTTTAAAGCTGCACTCGGCAATATTCCACCTATATGACGGCAGTCTGTAAATAATTGAGTCTGGACCAGACAATCCAGTAATTGACATCATGAGCATCGATCAACGCAATTGGGATATGATGACATGCATCAACCAATTCAGCGAGCCTGACCACGCGATCCCGTTAGTTGCCTCTTATGACAAGCATAGACGCCTTTTACGGCAAGAATGGGTTGCTGAAGACCTATTTTACCCCGGATCTTCACGGGTCCATTATAAATCCCAAACAGAATAGAAATAACCAAATCTAATCATGCAACCACCAAAGCTTAGTATAGTCGCCTTACGGCAAGCATGGGTTGCTGAAGAACTATTCTGCCCCGGATCTTCATGGATCACTTGAGATTGGGGGCGGTCGGGTAGCCTAGTGGTATAAGCATTTGCTTGTCACTACGAAACCCAGGTTCGATTCCCAACATGGGTAAAACTTCTGTTGACTGATTCATTCTGTTGGTTTTGAAAGAAAAGTGTGCAATGGAGGTCGCCAGCTTGAAACTAGTGTCGCAAAGCTCAAGAAAGGAGATTTCTTAGTGGCTAATGTAGAGGTCCTGTTAGTCATTTCATTGGTCGGTCAAATTGGCAAAAGGTCATTCTGACGTGACCTGTAATGGGATGTCCTCAGCAGTAGTGAGAACTTGTATCTTGTATCTGATTTTAATGAGATTGAGGTACAGCGGTTTAACGAAGGTCGAGTCGTAGGTGGTAGATGACCAACAAAACAGTCTACCTAAACACGATCTACGCTGCACATTTCAGAGTTTCAAAAAAGATTAGAATAGAAGTTATTTATGATTCATAGTGTAAAAAAAGATTTATCGAGTATAATATGCGCTTTAAAAAACCCCAACACATCGTATCGCTTCAGGTGAAAAAGACAGGGGATCTATAACAAACTTGGTCAATAAAAGTATGACATTTGATATAAAACATCACTAGACATGATGATTTACCATTTAAAATGTATTTCCTGCTTTCAAAGGCATTGTTTTATATGCAAGGATTAAGATTACAGTGTGTATTTTCTCGTAAACTAAGCCGGGAATAGCAATCAGCTGTGCACACGTTTCCTCCCAATCTACCGGGGATTCAGTTAAAATGTACCCAGTGATACCACTTTAAAGAAATTTGATGCAATGGTCGGAAGAAATTGTATCTGAAATTATTATTTTATCAGGAATAATATATTCCAATATCGTGTTATTTTAGTTATAGCTTCCCTATATATACTGAAAATTATAAGAACCACAAGTGTAGCACTTTGGTACAGATTGTATGCAGGATATTTTTTTACATATGGAACGATTTTGACCAGTCACCATAGGGACTTCCCGCGCAACTTTTATTTCGATTGCGAAAACGTTATGTTGACATTTAATAGTCAAACTGCCTCAAATATGACTTTTAGCAAGTCATGGTACAGCATTTATGATATGTGTAACCATTCTCCTGCAACTAAAGTTCGTTTCAAGGCATCAATAGCGGTAATCTGACCGTGGTTGCTGTTAATAACGGTGAGTTGTGAGATCTACCCATCACTTCGCATACGATTTCGCCTAAATTATTGTAAACATTATTATAATTACTAAAAGAAATTTTGAATATAATTAAAAAATATATATTGCAAACATTAGTCCAGATAAACAATGAACAATTTTTTTTATTACCAGATATGATAATAATAGGATTAAATTGTGTACTTCAATTCGGATTTGTTGACTGGTATTTCCAGTGTTACGTGATCACGGTGATCAGATGATAATGTTTTCTTAGATGGGGGAAAAACATCATGTCATTGGAAAACTTGAGTTTATTGAAAATGTTAGTATCTTTTGGGAGCCATGCTTTACCGCGCTATATTGAAGGGCGCAATAACGAAACACTGTAATCTAAGCATGTGATTTTTTAATCCTGTTTTGTTTGTTTAAAGCATTAATTGTTTATTGTTAAGCAAGTTTATCTCTGCATCCGTTGTAATATGCAGCTATAAAAAAAAAGAGTCTGTAAACTCGCGGGCAGGTGACCACGGAGTACGCAGATCACTGTGTTTGATTAACGAGACTGCATCATGAGTCATTTCGGTAATTCGTTGCAAATTACATGTGTCGGAGTCAGAGTGCGAGACTGTTGGATTAACAGTCTAAATAGCACTGATTTAATTGGTTCCCATCATTTGTGTCAGATAAAGCGGATTGTCATATTAACAAGACTTGACTGTACATGTGTGAACAACTTCTTTATTACAATCAGGAGTGATGTTTCAGTGTAGGTTCTAACACCGTTATCAAACAAGTGATGTACAGAGTATGGTTGACAAGCATACATACAGGCTTGAGGCAGTGAAACTACATCTCAATCTCCTCAACTGTATAAACATTGCCTCCTACCAGAACATATACTTGTCAACCATACTCTACACATCACTTGTTTGATAACGGTGTTAGAACCTACACCGAA